AAAAATCTTTGTGTCAATTATATAAAAATTCTCGATATTGATCGAAACACCAATAAGAAATCAAATCAATATGACGACGACTGTAGGTTCTCGGGAGAGATTGAAAATTTGAAATTCTACGTAGGATTTCAAGTATAACCACCAAACTGGACATGTAAAGTATTGCGATCACCACGATGTCTACATTTGACTATCTGAAATAATTGTTGTGAAGGTATAGATATTATTGTTTATTAATATGGAGTCCATTAGTTATGTTATCCTATAATCCATTACTAGGAACTAAGGTATACATAATAATACTAATTTCATATTCCCATTTCACATGTTGTTTAATTCTAATGTTCTCCAATGACAGGCGTGTTCTAGAGGTTCAATTAGCTTATTCTATATTGTATTACTGTTTACGATTTGTAGCGTGTAGACTAAATGAAGAGGAGCTCATGGTAATTCCTTTGCTTTGTTTAAGCTAGCAAATTGATTTAACAGAATTGCTTGACGTCTAGGTTGCTACCACAAATGTTACGTAAAACACTATACTTAATGGTACTTTATTATATTTCGTTTTCCAACTCAGCAAAAGGTAGCCTAAAGATTATAAGAAGAAAGTAAACTAAATTAAAATACATACAGTCCTCGTGCTTCATACACCCAAGTCATTTGCATGAATATACTTTGAAATTGATTGCACAAAATGATTTAATATTTCAATTTCTTCTTCTTCTCGACAAGTTTTAAATAAACCGATCTTATTTTATAAAAGTGACAGAAAGCTTCAGGGCTGAGATACATCGTCACTCGCTGATAAAACTTACTTAATAAAAACAACTATTGGCTTCTGCCACAGCTTCGTATTGCAGCCAACTATCACCCTAACAGGTATTTTATTACCATCCCAGTTACTCTCCTTTTTGTCTTTCCGCTAAGGTTCTATTTTGTAATAGCCGACTGACCGCGTAGAACCTTCTTAAAGTGAGCCGCCATCGTGTCATTAGAGGGCGTGAATATTTAAGTAGAGACGGCGGGAGCGGACCGCGATCCTACTCCCGTTCCTGCTTGGGTTATAGGACTTCTGGGATTACCTTCTCATTGAATTAATTCTGTTTGCTGATGAAAAAGGCCCTGCCGAATAACAATTCTTAACGAAAATACTTTCGCAGCTTACTTAGTAGTGGGCGTATTTGTTACTTCCAAATAGTCTTTCTTTTTACATTACATTTCTTTTGTCAGTATTTTTTTTTCGAAAACGCACCTATTTACATTCCTATTATTTACAATATTTTCTTAATCTCTTTTTCATAGCAGTCTGAATTTAATATATTAACAATTTTACACAGTCGAATATGTTAATCAGAAATAAGTATTTGTTATACAAAGTATTTAAAGATCTTATTTTAATCAACGTTACTTATTAAGACTACAAGCATATTGTGATGTTGCAGATACATGACTCGAGTGTTCAATGATCATATTGTGCCTCCGTGTATGTCGATGTCTTCTTTAGTGTCTTATTTAATTTTATGTCGTATTTCTCGAATTCATTGTTCATACGGTTCCCGTTACGCAATCAAGGGGGGTCATTCTGTCCGCGCCCAAAAGTCGCACCCGCGAAGTAGAGAACAGTCATATCCTATCGATTTGTTAAGATGGCGTACGCGGGAGGTGGTCGGGGTGACGGGGCGAGGGTGGCCGCAGCCTCCGCGCGCAGCGTGCAACCTCGCTTGCACCTGCCTGAGCCCGAGCCGACCACCGGCACAGTAGCGACACCGTGTGGCACAAGCCCGCGCCCAATGCAACGCATGTGTGACCGTGGACTTGTCATTATCACGGCCAGAATTAACCAACCACATATCTTTAACTTTTTAACTACTCAAATTTATACGTGATGAACTCAAATATATGAGAAACGAAAATTTCACAAAATTAATATTACATGTATCATATTCATCTTAAAAATTGAGACATTGTCAAAATACCGCAGCGCAGTATCGTAGGTCGGGACTGTCGATACGGCAAACCGTCGGTGTCCGACGACTTGCATATTCATTCAATTTCTGGTTCCGACAAGTCAAATTCTAGTACACTTATCCAGTTTTATATATTTATATTCATTCATTCATAATTTAAAAGCTCATGTCGCTGGGGCTCTTGCCCCTTTCCTCGATTTCTTTATACAAAATTTACATAGTTTAAAGCATGTGTACATAGATGTGTACACAATCGCGGACTTAATAGTAGAAGGTTTCTTTTAGTTTACCGCTTAACTTTTGTGCTGGTGATTGTGTATATTTTCAGAATAATATACATGTTCATTAGACAATGCATTCATTCCGTATTCTTAAAAGTACTAAGTGTCGGGTTTAATATCCAAAAGTTTATTATTTTGCATACTACAACTACTCCATCCATGCGGCTTAGGCATCCACCGAAAAAACAATCGCTCTACTAAATTTTATTCAAATTGTTGCGAAGCGAGAGCACAGTGCAGATTTGAAGATATATAAAATTATATTAAATAACTTTAGATAATACTAAACAAAAAATTACTTTCAAAATTACAATGTAATTTAAATCCTTATAAAATTTTAATATATGCTCTATATAACTACTTTTCAAACAGGAGTACTTTTGTAGTCAATGACTAAAATTCCTGTTGAAAATGTTGAAATCTAACCCACGAGGCTACGGTTTGTAGTAAATAGTACGGCGACAGTGTACACTCACCGTGAATGGGGTCTTGAAGTCGCACCCTTGACGACTGCGACCGACGTGCCCCAGACTCCGATAATCGCCGGCGCTTTGCCCTTCAAGGTTGCAAAGACTTCTGGCACAGTTATACCCGTTGGAAATAATATATGTTTGTGTAATTTTTTAATTAATATAAGTATTTCTTTATAAGTAATATTATAATAAATATTAATAAAACTATTTTCTACTTAAGAAAAGCGTTTCCTAATACTACAAAGAAGGCCAGGCGGTTTAAACAAAAAATTATTAAATTTAATCACACAATGTACACCTACACCTATACACCTATGCAAAGCCGGGGTAGGTTGCTAATGTCATGTTAAATTATAGTAGTTATACACATCTGATGTTATAAGAGAGCAGTATTTATAGAGTATTCCTCTTAATATGTAGAGTACAGAACTATTTGAGGTACAATAAGAAGTTTTTATGACCATTATTATGACACCGCTATCGCCGCTTAAATTATTATTACACTTTTTAGGCCCTGCTGTCAAACCGCGTCATGGTATCACGTGGACAAATAAAAGTTCTTTTCTTAAACATTATTTAACATAGAGTCTAAAACCATGCACCTTGTATGTATAAGAGGTATATTATTTTTTATGTAAAAATATGTATTGTATTAATTAACAGTATAAATAAAATAATTAAAAAGCCCGTCCTGACAACAAGTGTCCACGTCCAGACGTAGATTAATAGCGCCATTATCTCCAAGGAAAACGTAACGTGGTTTATAATGACGATAATAAACTGCGCCATACAATACCAGATCAATAACAGTTCTGTTTTAATAGTATTTTTTCCGTCGATGTAAGAAGCTTTAACACCAGCCGATAATTTCCAATTTACAATTGGTAAGCCTTACCAAATACATCCTATCTATTTAAAAATATTAGTGATAGTTTCAAATTCTAATTTACTAAGAAATGACATCCGTAAGATTCTACGTTTTTTATTACGAATTTTCTTTACTCGGTAAAGATTTTTATTTGATCTGATTTTTAATGTTTTCTCTGTTACTACTCTACTTAAACCAAATTTGTAAGTTTTTGGAGTTTTTAAAGATTGTCTGCAAAAGTAGATTGAATTATCAATTTTTAAATGAACTCCAAAAATTTCATGTGATTATGTAGAATACTTGACACACATCGGTAGCCATTTATTTATTTATTAAGTAGATTAATAAATAATGAAAAAATTACTTAGGGTAGTTATACATTATAAGAATTAGCCTTGAAACATTTAACGGTCTCGGTGATTTAGCACACCGCCTTAATTCCAATGGGTTCAATTCCTCGCTCGAAAGTTTGATTGTTTTTGTATTGCATTATATATGTACAAAAATGTATCTATGTATTTATAATACTTGTCTAGTACCCATAGCACAAGTTCTGCTTGGATTGGGACCAGATAGAGCTGTCGCTGTCCTAAAATATTATTATTATTTCATTTTTAGATATAAATTACGATTTATAGACTCACATAGGCGCGATTGTCACACCTGCGGCTGTATAGCACAGTGAGATTACCACTTACAGATTCATGATTTATATCCTGACATGGAATTATCCATAAAATTGGAAGCTTTTATAAATAATTTGATACGACATTGTTTATATACAATTATTTATTTTTATTGACTTGACATATTTGCGGTAGTTTTGACTTATCATAAGAATCTGTTATAGCCGAACATTAATAAATATATTTTTAATTGATATAATATTGAACTCTCTTACTGAATAAGGAAATGAAAGTAATCAATCAAAATGTATTTACTAAAAACTAAGACTACGAAGACCTTTAAACAAATATTAATCAAACTTTTGGCAGAGCAACATGCATAGCAGGTCTTTTCTATAAACCCCTACATATACATACGTATATTATGGTTTGGAAACTTGTTATTGTATTGCTGTTGTCTTCATATCAAGGTCTAAATAAATATTTAAAAAATAATACGTAGTAATTTATCATGGTTCACCAAACAACTAATTGGCTTTTAAGGCTAGTCCTATTTTATTGGCACCATGGCAAACAAATATTAACCAACTCGTTAAACAACCGCTTCAATCATATTATGTAGCCATAAATTCACAACGGTTCTTTATCCCCTGAATTGATGACTCCTTACGACATATTGGAGGTTGTTGCTCCATCTACCTGGAGGATCACTAAAGATACTTTTTTTATAAATTGTCGATTTGATTGCATTGCGATTCATTATTAACATGTTTTCTATGTTACAGTGGCCCAGTCAGAAGACTCACCGGTCGCGATGAAACTCAAAAAAATATGCCTTAAGACGCCGATAGGCGAGGAACAGGCGGCACAAGCAGTCCTTGACCCTGCGCTAGGTAAGAATTCCATTTTCTTCTTAAATTTGTTGCTGAAGAACTTAACCTATAAACATTTACATTAATAATTAGGTACGTTTTAGTAAATGATTTACTACAACAAATTATTTAAATGTCTTACTTTAAAAAGTGCATCTGCATAACAAAGGTTGCGTTTGTGTGGGCCCTGAACGCTCAGCATACCACTTTCTCGCCTCTGTTTCACCCGTTCTCGTTTCAATAGCCAGAGCAAACATTCGCCCTTGTAAAGCTCGGCTTACACGCACACATCCATTCCTAATTTCCAAGTTCCGTATTCAGACCTAATGTTATTATGAGTTGTAATTTTATAAAAATAAGCTAATTTTACCTAAATGTCGTCTACACAAAGTTAGTAATTCATTTTATGGTAATTGCGTAAGATTCTATAATAAACTGCCAGAGTCTACGCTAAATCTTACAGAGAGGCAATTCAAATCTTATATTAAACAAATGTTATGTAAAAAAGCCTATTATAAGATAGATGAATTTATAGATGATAGCAATATATAGCAAGAATAAGTTTATTTGCGGACAACGTTATAATTTTACTTTTCATACTGCTTTCTTGATATACGATAGCGTAGCGGCTTTTGTATTGATTGCCGCATGCATCCTTATGTAAAGTGCGAATACTGTAACTACCATATAGTCATTTTTGTAGCTGTGACGTGGTCGTGTGGAATGAGTAGTCATGCTCACTAAAATGTCCAGACATGTGGCGGCGTAGTGGGCTGGGTCATTGGGCTCCCTAAAATATGGTCGAGCGCAGTGATGGCTGGCTCATCCGTCATACTCGTGAAACGAGTGCTGCTTGTAGGGACTGGTCTGCTCTTATCACTCGTAGTTATATTTGACCCAAAAAATTAGTGCTTGTTGGTAGTTTGTATTCACACGTTTCGACTTGTAAATGTAAACTTACAAGGATTATTTAAAAGAGCAACACACAAGTTTCTTGCTCGTTCTTCTTGTGATGAGACAGCTTTCCGAACGAGTGGTAGATAAAAAACAAATTGTTATGACTATTCACAAGTGCTTAAATTAAGTTTATTTGAATAAATGATTTTCTATTCTATTCTATTTTTTATAAATTTTATTGCGTTCTTCAAATTAATGTCGCGCTAATACTGAGGAGGAACGAAATATTGGATTAATTACAAATTATACTATTAACAGTAGAAATTATTTATCTGCATTAGACCCCAAAAGTCGCTTAGATATAACATTTTGAATATTTTAATTTATTGGGTACGTTCAGCATGTCATCGTTCTGTTGATTGAATCGTGCTTTTATTTCCCATCACGCCACGTATGGACGCTATGATGTCATCGATTTAATTGTGGCGACCACTTCATTACCTACCTATAAAAGCGACATTTATTTTCAGTCTTCCATCGAAGTAAACTTCAGCGAGTCCGACACACGTTCGATCGATTTGTGGCAACTTTACGGCGTCGTTATCTTTTTATGCAATATCGTTGGTTTCATTACGATTTCAATGTCAAGATTCATTTTTATGGTCGCCTCTTCAATGTTTCAATAGTGGCACATGTGGTTGACCGGGAATCACGCGGCATGACGAGTGACGTTGTTACATCATTTCTCTGTATCCCATTGGTAGTTCTATGCATGTACATATATTCGTGTGCAGGTCGTTAATGGTTCAACGTGGATCTGTTCTGTGGTACGCGGGTGGAATAACCTATAATTAGATACGCGTACACCAATACTCAGCGGTAGAACTCGTAGATGTCTCGTGCACTCGATATCCGCTGGATATTTCATATGGTGCAATTTATTAGTGATTTATTTTTTATAGCATTACAGCAATATAAAACACATTCGATTCGTTTACGAGAGTTATGCGGCAAAAGTTTCTGACGTTTTTCGTAGCTGTTACTTTTAGTAGATGTGGTAATTGAAATGATCATGACTCTTCCCCCGAATTTGTCTTAATATCTTTCGTAATGCTATCGGTTTCTTTTAATTACTAAACCTTATCTTTGGATGTTGCACTTGTACAATTACGCGTATTCGTAGTTTAAGGTAGTAGATGCTGAAGTCTCATGATTATTAATAACAATAATGTGTTATTAACGTTAGGTAATTAGAAACATCAAATTTCTTATTGAGTCTGCAACTGAAGTATTTATAACCAATGATGACTGACTTTTTTTGCTAAATTTTATTGGCTTGTAATATGGCTGAAGTTTAGACTAAATTTGTATGTTTACTATTATTAAAGCGATGCTCCATATGGATATATATATATATATATGCAACATAGAGCAAATTGGAATCAAGCAAAGAGGGAGTTAAGGGGGGTTACTCTCGTGTATCGGGTGGTTTGATAAGTGTCGACTATTCGTCAGTGTGTTGCATAGGTAAGCGTATGTGAGGTGTTGATGTATCGGACAATAGAAGCTGCTCGGTGCAATTTCGACGGCGGTACGCGGGGTCGACGGGTGGCGGCGTCGGCGTCGGTGGCCGCATGTATTTCTCCGGCGTGCGTGGTACTGCAGTTCTCCTGGATGGCCGGTAATTTGATTGGGCCCGAGCTGTCACCTATGCGCCGCAGTGGCCCGGCCGTCGCTCGCCGGCTATCGATTAGAGCCCCCGTCCCCTGCCCCCGTGCCGCCCGCGAACCGGATCTCGTCACGCCGCCATTGTGTACCCGCGACGCTTAAACGCATTCGTTTCTCCCGATGCGAAAACGACGCATTCCTTCCGCGCGCCCGCCCGCCGCACCCCTCCCCGGCCAGCCGCACCACACCGTACACCGCATCGCGCGGCGCCACACAGGACCGAACGACCCTCTCATTACACTTTTACCACATTACCACGCCGGTGTCGGCCGCGTCAAACTGATGGCTGTTGACAATCCTTACCATTCTCAGCTTCAGATTTATCTATTGAAGCTGTAGCTTTTAATTCAATATATTTTGTTTAAACACTGTTGTAATAAAGACAGATAATAAAGTCTGTATTTTTATATATAACAATGTTGGCAATTGACAAGACAAGCCAAGCATACAGCCCAACTGAAGATAAATGGTACTTAGTAGTCAAAGATTAAAAACTTATTGTTTGTTGGTAAATGAGTTAAAGTTATCATTAATTTTGCTTCAGGCCCTCAGTCCCATTGCACCGGTCCGGCTATTTCACCGAGCCTTCTAGTCAGATTAATTTATCACTAGTAGTTTCGTCTCATTAGCCGGAATTGTTAATCTTAATAGTGGCTAAATATGAATACATAACTGTCCACGTTTCTAATCCAACAAATAATCCGAGTCAGTGGTATTTTCTCCCGCTCTGACTTTGTTTTCCTTCATCCTGAATCCGTGACCAAACCTTATTCTAGCGAAGGATTTAGGCCAAATATCCCAACCACTACAATGAGAACAATGGTATCCATCGTAAAGCTAATAATAAAACAAATTAATACGTATAATTATCAGTTGGTAAATACAGCGTTACGATCCAATTAGGTGACTTAGAGGCTGAGGTTGCGAGTTTCATTCCGACCGATACAGTAATAGTTATTATTATTTTTATTAGTTTAGAATATCCTTTTCTTTTAGGAGAATTCTCATTAACTATTGATTAAGAGACTGATGGAATCCTAAATTACTTTTTATCTATAATTCAAAATTCACTCAGCAAGAAGTGGGCAACTCAATAATTTGTAGTATACATAACTACAAATTTTAACAATTGTACTAAACAGAATAATTAATTATGACGACCTCGGTGGTCTAGCGGTCTAGCACACTGCTTTACGACCGATGGTCGCGGGTTCGATTCCTTGCACGGCACAAACATTTGTATTCATGAGTCTGATTGTTTGTATCGGTCTGGGTGTTTTCTATGTATAACATGTATGTATTTACAAAAAAAATCTATGTATATGTATCAGTTATCTAATACCCATAACACAAGCTTTACCTAGCATAACTCGGTCTAGATGGTGCTGTGTGAATTGTCCTGAGACTATTATTATTATTATAATTCCGCATACTGCTTTCACTATAATCACAATATTGATTTTAATCCAATCCATTACCGATTTCAATGTTGTACAACAATCAATTGATACTTAATAGTTGGATGTTACGTGGCAATAATTAGAGTTGGTAAATATTTTAGTAGATTGTGTACCAAGTGTTTATTTTATTGTCATAAAAATAGTTGGTTTGGGATATGTCTTTTACGACCAGAAAGTTTGTATTTAGACATAAGATTGTGACAATAATACTCCGGGGATTGGGTAGCGGAACTGCGCAACAAGTCTGAAAGCCGCCGAATGCTTACCCAAACAATGCAAAGGTAGGTCGAAATATGTTAGAATATTCACTTTTGTTGGGAAAAATACTTTGTTAAAGAATTGACTTCGACTTCGTAGACGAGACAATACAGATAAAAATACAGACAAAACTGTTGTAACTGGCTAATCAGATATGTATTTTATATTTTAAATTAAATTTGTATTTGAATTTATAGGTCTTTTATATTACATTCTTGTTTTTGATACTTCAATTTCTTCTTTCTATTCTGTTATGTCAGTAGTCTATATTAATATATATTTTTCTCCGTTTACCTAGTCTTTTTTCTTATTACTACATGAATAAACTACAACAAAAACCAATATGAACCTAAGTAATATTTAGAAAATAATATAATTGAGTATCTATTTACGTTCTGTTGGCGAAATCCGAACCACTCTATCGTGGCGATACCCTACCCTGGTTCTCAAACAAGAATATCCTATGCAATAAAAATCATATAATGAACATAATTGCAGAACATTAGTCAGAGTCAAAATCATTTATTCATATGACAGGATATTTTTTGCCACTTATGCACGTACATTTTTTTGTCACTAACCTATCGTCCAGCATTATACTTCAGTAAATGTATGTTATATACTTTACGACAACCTATAGAAACCGTACTGCAGTGTACGTGCACAGCAGGCTGGCCA